AGCCAGGACAACATGCAGACAGAGAGGCGACACGGAGCCCAGAGCTCTCTGAGCATAGCTGGGGCACATCGTCCAGCAGCCCACTCAGGCCAGACACCCTGCAGAGGTGGAGACCAAGGCTTCCTGGCCCTGCTGGGTGGAGAAAGGAATATTTTTTAGCAGAGACATGTATCGTAGAGCGCACATGATCTGAGGGCCAGTTATGGAAAAGCAGCTGATGATGTTAAAAATGAAAGACCCAAAGAGAGGGTAGGCAGCGAGGACACTTTGAATATCTTGTATATAATGCTATTTCAATTTAAAACAGAAAATGACTGGAGCCCGTCACAGGACAGCTGAGTTCCACCCCCATGGTGTGCAGGGTTCAGGGCAGGGTTCCCCAAGGCCAGCCCTACATCAGGAAGCACCTTTTGGGTGCCCTTTTGCCCAGTTCCTCAGGAGCGTGCATTGGCCTTTTCTCTCCTCTCTCTGCCCCCCTCGTCCGTGCCCTCAATCCTGGAATCCAAGACTGTGTAGGTGGCACTGGCCTGGAATTTAATTTAAATTATGAAAAAATTTAAGTCATTCCATGCTCAAGATTTTCTTCCCTCTCCACGCCCACCCAGGAAACATTAACTAAAAACCATACTAATGACCAACATCCCAAGCAACTGTTAAAGCACAAATGCCACTTAAAAGGTAGAACTACACGAACAGACATCAGCCTTAATCCTTTTCTTGAACTTTTGATCCCCCCCCCCCCCCCCACACACACACACACACATACACAGAAAACAGAGCCCGGAGAGAACTGAAAGAATGGGATGTAATGACCAAGTGCTTTGGTGGGAGTGGGGAGAGCTTGAGGGCAGGGGCAAGGGCAAGTCCCTTCCAGGGTCAGAGGTAGCTGGTGGCTCCATGAAGACAGTGGATTCCAATAGGCCAAAGAAGCAGAGTAGGGACGTGGCACTGGGATGAACAGAAAGGAAGGATGCAGAAGGAAAGATGTTATGTTTCTCTCTTTCAATAAAATGTATGCCAAGATTGAATGGATTCTTCACACTCTTTCATTTTAGCTAATTGTACTTACAATAGATGACCCATTCAGAGCATTCAGATTTGGTAATATATGCAACAATGGGCTGTAATATAAATGAACCAGCTCCTTTTTATCCATTGGCACTGCTGTGTCCTAAGGGCCAAGTGTATATTCTTCAAGTTGGAGGAACTGTTAGAATAGCTTGAACTTTTGGGAAAAAGGGATAAACAATATCATTAATGGAGCCCTTCCCTCCTGTTAGTTAGCTTTCTGTAACTGTGACAGAAAACCTGAGAAAATCAACTTACAAGATTTATTTTGGCTCATGGTTTCAGAGGTTCCAGTGTGTGGTCAGCTGGCTCCATGGTTTCTGGGCCTGTGGTGAGGCAGAGCATCATGGCGGGAGTACATGGTAGAGCAGAGCTGCTCACCTCATGGCCGCCAGGAAGGAGAGAGGGAGGGAGGGAGAGACACTGGGAGCAGTATATACCCTTCAGGGGCACACCCACAGTGACCCACCTCTTCCAACTAGGCCCCAGATCCCAAAGATTCCACCACGTCCAATAGTGCCAGACTGAAGGCCAAGCCTCTAGCATAAGGCTTTTGGAGGCTATGTAAAATCCAAACCTTAACTTGTTTCTCTTCTGTCCACACCTGAGGTCCTTCCACTTGCTCTACATTTTCCTTTTTCAATAGTGCTTCTCACCTTCCTGTGTGCCCCACAAATTGTTGATCTATTATATTTACTGTTAGTTGTCTCTATCTCACCTCCCCACTCCAACAGAAGCTCCATGATGACATAGTCTTTCCTTTGTTCTCCAGTACATCCCCAGCTCTTGAATAGTGTTCAATATGTTGCAGACACCCAGTCACACTACATGAACAATCGTGCAAAAGCAAACTGCAAAGAAATTGATATAAAATGGTCCTACATTTGTTTTTCAAAATATCTGCATAATAATAGAGATAATATAGAAAAATCTCTGGACAGACATACCAAATTTTAGACATGACTATTACTACAGAGATGAGGTTGCGAGTGTTTTTCTATGATACATATTATTGCTTCATATTTTTTTACAACATTACTTTGAAGTAAAAAAAATATGATCACAAAATAAAAAATTAAGTCAAGGAATTTGGCTAAACCTCAAAGCAAGAGCTTTGTTTCTTGGGGGACATAGGTTTCAGTGGGAGAAAATTGTACTATAATAGAATCTTTTATTTTTAGTTTGATGATGTTCTTTTGCTATCTTAAATTGCCTGCCTGCCTGCCTGCCTGCCTCTGCCTACCTTTCATTTAGTGGTGCTGGGAGTCGAACCCAGGGGCTCACAAATGCTAGGCGGTGCTTTGCCATTGAATTATACCCCCAACCCTTAAACTGGTTTTCTGAACTTAGAATTCACCTCATTTGTGAGCCGATGGGTTTTCATCAAGGGGTCAGCTAATATTTTTTTCATAGTAACCTAATAATAATCATCTTAGCTAACACATAATCTGGAGACCTAACCTAAGTGAAAGATTAAACATAAAATAGGCTTGTACTTTATCATCCTAACTCCCTACCTACCACTGATACTAAGACCAAATAAGCAAACATGTGAGTGTTGGGTGCAGTGTAATCCCAGCATCCAGGGAGGCTTAGGCAGGAGGATCTCAAGTTCAAGGCCAGCCTCAGCAACTTTGGGAGGTCTTAAACAAGTTAGCAAGACCCTGTCTCAAAATGAAAAATAATAATTGTGGGGATGTGGCTCAGTGGTTAAAAGCCCTTAGGTTCAGTACACAGTACCCGCCACCCCCCAAAAAAAGTCAAGCAAGTGGCCAGCAAACGATGCTATTTGTAGGGTGCATAATGGTGTGATTGCCTGAGAGCCAGGTGGAAGGGAAAGGGAAGGGTCATATTGCTGAAAGAGCTTATTCTTAGATCAGCTCTTTGTGTGTCCTGCAGCAAAAGGCTTATGAGCTGCGGGGCATCACAGGCAGAACCTGAGTGCTGCTCGCCACAGGAGCGTGGAGTGCTGGTAGAGGGGGCACCTCCCTGTAGACCAGATCCACAGAGCAGTGCCAAGTTACAGCACGCACAGTTCTGTCTCTGGTGTAATAAGGGCCATCAGCCTCCTAAGGCCTGACATCTGTAAGAGCATTCACTATAGAGCATTGTATTAGTCAGGGTTCTCTAGAGGAAAAGAATCAACACGAAGTAATTATAAAAAAAAAAAAAAAAGGGGACTTATTAGGTTGGCTCATGCAACCAGAAGCTGGATGGTCCACAATGGCCATCTGCAGTCTGGAGAGCCAGAAGAACCAGTAGCCACACAGTCCTAGAGGCTGGAGCCCCAGAACAAGAGGGATCAACAGTGCTACGGTGGTCTGAGGCTGAAGGCTTCTGGGGAATCACTGGCAGAGTCCACTTTGAAAGAGTGAAGAAGCAAGAGTCCGATATCCTCAGAGGATCACAGCAGCAGTCAAGAGCCCCTTCAAGAAGAATCAAGCTTGCATCTTGCATCTGCTTCCCTGTTCTTCCAACTTTTATTCCATCCAAGCCATCATCCTATTGATTGGTGCTGCCCATGCTTAGGGAGAGTCTCCACTTTAGTTGGCTATCCCACATGCCAGTCATTCCAAGACACACCTCATTGACACACCCAAATTACTTTTTTTTTAGTTGTAGATGGGCACATATCTTTATGTGTTTATTTTTATGTGGTGCGGAGGATCAAACCCAGGGCCTCACACGTGTGAGGCAGGTGCTGTACCATTGAGCTACAGCCCCAACCCCTCCCATAATACTCTTAATCCTTGGCATCCCTTAATCCAACTAAGTTGACAATTCAAATCGACAATTATAAGCATCTTATTTTACTTTTGCTCATCTATTTATTTTTACATTTCCAATCTTTAAAAAAAAAAAAAAATACAGTCATTTCCCCAAACCACTGAAAAGAATATTTACATTAAGGAAAAAGTCCAGGGCTGGGCTTGTAGCTCAGTGGCAGAGCACTTACCTAGCACATGCGAGGCACTGGGTTCAATCCTATATATAAAAAAACAAATAAAAAATAAAAGTTAAATTCTTTTTTTTTTTTTTTTGAGAGAGAGAATTTTAATATCTATTTTTTAGTTTTCGGGGGACACAACATCTTTGTTTTTGTATGTGGTGCTGAGGATCGAACCCGGGCCACACACATGCCAGACGAGCGCTACTGCTTGAGCCACATCCCCAACCCAGGTTAAATTCTTAAAAGAGAAAAGAAAATCAAAAAGTCCATTTCCTTCTGTTAAGAAAAAAAGTTTTATAGTTATGTTTTTGTTTTAAATACTTTCCCTAGGTACATACTATCCATTTAAATTAAATCAGTAAAGATGGTAAAATGCTGTCACATATCCTTGCCCCAAAATTAAATACTTGAAAGGAGATGTCTTTATTTTATTTCTGGAATAAAACATTTTTTGTGTTCTGTCACTGGAGTGTAGAACTTACTGAACAGTAGTTCAAGTCCAAGGCTGCCCCTTTCCCACGCTGGGCAGGGTGCTGGAGGAGGAAGGCCTTAGTGGTACTTTGGGTAACTATGTCAGTTTATGCACAGCGAGGTAGGAGAGAAGAACTCTTCCTTCCTGGGGGATCCGGGAGGGTTTATTGTTTGGAAAGATGGTCTCATTTCAGTTGCCCCTCATTTTCAGGCAGATACTTATGAAATGAAATGATTACACTCCCCTGAAAGCTCGCTTTACATAATTCAGGATTGTCCTGGACCTCTCTCATCACAGAGGAAGAAAAGCCCTATGAATTATTTACAGAGCACTAAATTATTTCCTTTTATGAGCTCCAACTTTGTTTTTGTCTCTGTAAACTGAGATTTTGTTTATCCATGAATAGTTTTCCCTGGGGCATGAAAAATATGACTCGTAAATTATGAATGAGGTTTTTTGTTTGAGTTCGTGTTAACTAAAACATGCAAAATAAACTATGTTTTCCATTAGATCCCTTTCAGCTCCCCACAAAAACTGAACCAACAAAAGAAAGAGCAATTCAACCAGCAGCCGCCAGGAAGCCCACTGTAATTCGAATTCCAGCCAAACCAGGAAAATGTAAGCACTTCTCCGCCTTCATATTTATTTGCATTTCCAAGAGCCTGGGAGAATATATATGCTAATTTATCCATGTCTGCTTTTGAAATTATTGGTAACTTGCTATTTATTATTCATAGTCATGGACATTCAAAAGCAAGGTGTTTTCTCTCAATTCTTTGCAGAATTAGCACAGTAAATTTGAATTTCATTTTTTCGTAAGGTTGTGTTTACACAGAGAGAATGCATGGAGAATGTAAGTCTCAGAACAATTGTAGTATCCCATGTTGGTGCCTCTGGTAAAGGTTGAGGGGAAAGTAATTGAAACTAATAGCAAATGAAGTTGTATGATTTCATCAGGGGTGTATTTTTCCAATCAGCATCATTTAAATATGGCTATGTGTGAATTGTGTGAAAAGCTGTATACAAAAGCTTTAAAAGCATATAACAATGGATGAAAATTCCTTCTTTCTTCTTATGATGGCTCCATTGCAAGGAATAGTACTTTTAAATTACTCCATGCATTTTTAGTTGATTTTTTTCATTTGATTTTTAAGTAGTGCAATAGATGAAATTCTGTATGAGCTTTAACAAGTACTTCAAAAAGAAATATGAGGAGGGGAGGGGAGGGGCATGGAAAGATGGTGGGATGAGATGAACATCATTACCTTAGGTACATGGATGACTGCACATGTGTTACGACTACATTGTGTATAACCAGATGAATGAAAAGTTGTGCTCCATTTGTGTACAATGAATTTAAATGCATTTTTAAAAAGAGGGCTGGGGATGTGGCTCAAGCGGTAGCGCACTCGCCTGGCATGCGCGTGGCACTGGGTTCAATCCTCAGCACCACATAAAAATAAAATAAAGATGATGTGTCTTCCAAAAACTAAAAATAAATATTTTTAAAACATTTTTAAAGAAAAAGAAAGAAAGAAAAGAAAAAGTGGTGCACGCCTGTAATCCCTGCAGCTCAGGAAGCTGAGGCAGGCAGATCCCAGTCCAAAGCCAGGCTCAGCAACTTAGTGAGACCCTGTCTCTAAGTAAAATATAAAAAAAGGCTGTGGATGTGGCTCAGTGGTTAAGCGTCCCTGGGTTCAATAGTCAGTACCTTAAAAAAAAAAAAAGTGACATTTAGGGCTGGGGATGTAGCTCAGTAGTAGTGTGCTTGCCTACTAGGCACAAGCCCCTGGGTTTGATCCCCAGCACTGCAAAAATAAAAAAAAATAAAAAAAAAGAGAGAGCGAAATTTGACATTTATTGTAATGGAAAAGCCAAAAGGCCAAAACTGTTCATTTTAGGCACCAGAGATTTTTAAAGTATGGGTAGAATTGCGTGTGTGTGTGCGCCCAGGTCTTCAACCTGTTCCAGCCCAGTACTGTCTTGCTGGCATGCCCTTTATTTTAGGGGTTGGTTTTTTCTATGAAGCACTACCAAGAAGAATTATTGGTTTTGTCTCTTGATGGTTTTGCCATTAACTGATGGCTCTCAGTCCAGTAGCTAGAAGATTGAACTGAGTTGCTGTGAACAATGAGGAGGAGAAAAAGTCAAGGATCTCAAATTCTGGTGGTTTCTCACTTCTTATATTGTAGTGTGAGTTAAAGAACAGGTGGTATATTTCTTTTGACAGTGTCATAGAGCTCAGAAATCAGTAAATGATAGCTCATCAGGCTGTTTGCCTGTTTGCTGTTACCTTATTAAATGCACTCTGGATTTTAACAGGCACAGTGAAATATAATGATAGTAAATATTTCCAGAAGCCCACGTGGGTCTTAAGCAATACAACTTTTATCCTTAAATTTATTCTCCTGTTGTGTTGTGTCCTTTAAGATGCCAGGTTTGACATTTTGATAGGAAGACTCACAGGACATAACATAGTCATGTTCGTGGCTATGATTTATTACAGCAAAAGTGTATGAGGCAGAATCAGGGCCCGGGGATGTAGCTCAGTGGTGAGCTCTTGCCCAGATTGTGCAAAGCCCTGGGTTCTGTCCCTGGTACAGGGGAGGAGAAGGGGAAAGTATGAGGCAAAATCAGCAAAGGGAAAGGTAAATGGTGTGAGACCTGGAGGAACCCTGGCACAAACATCCGAGTCTTTTGTTAGTGACGTCACACAGGATAAGTTAACCCTCCCGACAAGGAGTTGTGACAACACATGTGAAGTGTTGTGAATCAGAGATGTTCATCAGAGGGTCATGAGTGGAGGCTGGTTCCATAGGCACCCCTAGAAATCTTGACATGTACTGAAATTTCAGATTCCCAGAAGGAAAGCAGGTGTTCCACATGAAACATATTCTTGTATTTTCTCAGTTCTGGGAATCATGGGAACTGTTCCAAAGTTCAAGTTCCCAGATACCAATTAAGGGCTATAGTGACCTTTTCTGTACACCTCTCAACTGGCTATACCAGGGCAGAAACTTTAATCTCCCCATGGAACTCCAGGAACTGTGAGAAAGTTGAACGCCGTGTGCTAAATGTGAGGAGCTGACATGCCAAGGTGGTGGGTATTTTTTTGTAGGAGGTACCAAGGATTGAACTCAGTCAGAGGCACTTGACCACTGAGCCACATTCTCCAGTCCTATTTTGTGTTTTATTCAAACACAGGGTCTCACTGAGTTGCTGAGCACTTCGCTTTAGCTGAGGCTGGCTTTGAACTCACTCACGATCCTCCTGCCTCAGCCTCCCAAGCCACCGGGATTATAGACACACGCCACTGCGCCCTGCTCCAAGATGGTTTCTAAGGAGTTGCTTCTGGCAGGTGTGGTGGTAATCCTAGCTGCCGAGGAGGCTAAGGCAAGTTTGAGGCCATCCTTGGCAACTTAGCAAGGCCCTGTCTTAAAATTTAAAAAAAAAAAAAAAAAAAACTGCAGATGTAGCTTGGTGATAGATCACCCTGGGTTCAATCTTTAGTACTGAAAAATGAACAAATGAACGATACATACATCTAACAGAAACCAGGCAATGTGTATATGCTGCAGAGAAAAAAGAACAAGACTTTGGGTATCTGAAGAATTTAGAGTGGACCGGGGAAGAAAGGAACACTGTGATTCAGAAGTCCTTGATATTCTCTGAACCCATCAGCTCTTCTCCTTGGGACCTGTTATTCTAACCAGGACATTCTTTTCCCAGATATCTGCATGGCTCCCTCCCTCCCCATTCTTTCAGATCTCCGCTCAGCGGCCACTCTTTTCTTAGTGATACCTTTGGCTGGCTGCATGCAATGTCAAAGCAGAATTCTCCTTTCACAGCCCAGGTACACCCTGGGGTGGCCCTTCTTGCCTAGAAACTCCCTCTTTACTGCTTGCCTATTTCGACTTTGTACTTTTAAATATTTCTAACAACAGTGTCATATGCTAAATGTGATTCATTGTCCTTTTGAATAGGGAAAGTACAGCAAGGGGAATGTCTTCAAAATGGTGACTGCCTTCAGGGCTGGGGACCGCCTAGTGGCAGAATGCTGCCTAGCCTATGCAGTGTCCTCCAGCCTGGGGGGGAAATAGCTGGTGACTAAGTTGGATGTGTCTGCGTGGGTCTTAATTCCCAGGGCGGCTCTGCCTCTCACCGAGAACACTTGCCTGTCTCTAAATCATTGTTTTCCTAGCAGCTGGCCTGGGTATTTTCTTCCCTTGGAGAATGTTTTCCTGTCTGTGGATGAAACAGGAACCTGACAAATCATCCTCTTGTTATAGGTTTTTCGTGTGAAATGGCAGTAGAAAGTGTTCATTTGAAAAAAAAAAAAAATAGGAAATTCCCATATCCTTTCAGGGTCCAAACCCAATACTGTAAAAAGTGGCCTTGGCCTCCTTTGGTGTGTTACGGTCATCCCCTCCTCAGGCAGTTTTGCACGCAGATTTTAATTAGCTGTCACTCATTATATCTGGTTGTCTTTGCTTTCTTTTAAAATAAGTTGGGAGCACACTGTTACTGAGATAAGGATGTGGTTTGGAATGTAAAGGTATTGTTTTTAATTGAGGCTAACTATGCTCATTAATCTAGAGCTAAAAAATTAGAAAACATTTATTTACTTGTGGATGGGAGTGGGTTAGGTACACCTCCTGTTAAAGATCATGTCTTATTAGAACGAGTCAGGCTTTAAGGTTCAAGAGCCAAAACCAAAACAAAACACTGACATTAAGACCTTGGATAGCTCATGTATTTTCTTTCTTCATCAGTAAATTAGATAGTCTATTCATCTAGCACCACACTGTCTACTAGATCTTTCTGCAGAGATGGAAATGTTCTGTATCTGTATGGTAGCCCTTCACCACCGGTGACTGTTGAGTCCTTGAACAGAGTGGGCCAGGGACAGGGTTGCTGCCTGTGGAGGCTGAGGCAGGAGGATTGCAAGTTTGAAGCCAACCTGGGAAACTTAGCAAGACCCTATCTGAAAACAGAAATAGGGCTGGGGATGTAGCTCAGTGATACAGTGCTTGCCTAGCATGTACACACCCTAAGTTTCAAGCCCAGGACCATAAAAAAGGGAAGGGAGGGAGGGAGGGAAGCCACCATCTTTTTTGACTAATGCAACTGAAGAATGAAATTTTCATTTTATTTCATTTACATTAAATTCCTACATGTGGCAACTAGCTAGTAGACTAGATAAATCTAGCACATAGAAGTTGGCTGAAGAAATATATTCAAATAAAGTTGCCTTGAGTTAATGCCAGGAACATAGACGTTTCTCCACAAATGCTAGCTGCTATTGTAATTATTTAGTATTATTTTCACTCTCTCTAAAATATATAATAAAAGTAACTGGTGTTGACCAACACATCGATTTCTGTCCGTCCTGTGTGTGGCTCTTTTGTGTTAGCCGTTTTTCTAAGGAATCAAGCTGCAATCATTTCATTCTTTGGAATGCCAGACTAGGCATTACTGATGAATTTACTGTTTTTTCCAGGTTTACATGAGGATCCGCAAAGCCCACCTCCACTCCCAGCTGAAAAACCTATTGGAAACACGTACAGCACAGTACCTGGAAAACCCAGTAATGCTGACAGATCTAGAAACTTGGTGAGTGGCTGTCGATTGTGTTGTGTAGAGTATGTTATGTTGAAGACAGAGCTGTGCACCAATGTTAAATATTCAGCTAGTGTCTAGATGATTTTACTACTGGTCATATTGAAAAAAATACTTTTATTAGAAACCGGTTGCCAAATCCCATGCGATGTTCAATATTTTAGAAGTCCCTACAGAGGGATTAGGTTAATTCGTTATACTTCACTATAAAATAACCTATATTGTACCAATGTAATGACATTGCCTTTTAAATGATGCTAATAATGAGGAAGTTATTTAAAATCTGGGAAAACCTTTAATATTTGTGGAAGTGGATTTAGCCAGATTGTCAGCTTTTATTTAAAATACCCAACTGGTGGCATAATTTTAAGATAATTACCCAAAGACTTTTTTAATGTGAAATTAAAGAGAAAAATGTTTTTTAAATTAGTGCTTTACTGTACATATGTTAAGATGATGTATATATATTTTTATTATAACCTCAATGATTCCTCATATTTTTACAAATTTTTATGCGATAGATGATCTTTAAGACTTGTTTCAAAAGAAATCAATTCTTAAACTCTTTGAACCACATTTTCAGTTCAAATTTTATAATAGGTTTACACTATGCCTATCATGCAGGCAAACCCATCTAATCATCTAGAAAGAGACATTTCTTTGAAGGAGAGATTAAATTAGTCAATACCAAGTTAAAGGAGATTTTCTGTAGAATGAATTAAAATTCAGTGGTCATTTGTACTTTCAGAATGTTGGTAATCATTTTTTATTAAAACTGGGCCAAGGGCTTGGGATGTGGCTCAAGTGGTAGCATGCTCGCCTGGCATGCGTGAGGCACTGGATTCGATCCTCAGCATCACATAATAATAAAATAAAGATTGAAAAAACCAGGCCAAGCCAGGAGTGATGGTGCACGCCTATAATCCCAGTGGCTTAGGAGGCTGAGATAGGTGGATAGCAAGTTCAATGGCAGCCTCAGCAACTTAGCAAGGCCCTAAGCAATTTGGCAAGACCCTTGTCAAAATTAAAAAATAAAAAGGGCTAGGCATTGAATTGGTGTGAATATTACTGTGTATACAACCAGAGATATGAAAAATTGTGCTTTATTAGTGTAATAAGAATTGTAATGCATTCTACTGTCTTATATAAATAAAAATATACAAAAAAATACATAATGCAAATATACAATGTATAAAATATATTTTAAAAATTATAGAAAAATAAGAATAAATAAATCTTTAAAAAAAAAAAAAAGGCTAGGGATATGTCTCAGTGGTTAAGTACCCCTGGGTTAAATCCCTGGTACAAAAAAAAAAATTGGGCCAAGGAAACCCCAAAGAGGATAGTAGGGCCCCTACCATACTGTTGTTGAACGAGAAAGTCTCCCACTTCCATGGAGGGACAGCTGCTTAAGAGGGTTATGGGTTTCTACTCTCAAAGTGTTAAAAAGGGAGCGAGAGGGTGATGAGTAGTGTATATATCATTCAGGAAGTGATGTCATGGGTTTTGTGAGTGACAAAGCTCTATTGAAATAATTATTATATTGGGGGTTAAGCAGTCGCCAAGCAACTCCCATGTTTTAGAAAAACAAGAAAAGGAAGTTGGAATAAACGAAACCATCTGGGGAGACACTAGAGGCATAGTTGTGTTTGTTCCTCACAATCATAACATGAGGAAAGTCCCGTCCTCCACTGTTTATAGGGTCGGAGCAGGTCTGTATTTTCCTAAATACATAGTTTTTAAACTGAGTATGAAAGAAAAACAGAACAGACACAAGTTCAATTGTAACCCCTGTCCAGCGCAGGCTGTGGAACCAGGGTCACTTGGGTGAATCTGGGCAAACAGATTACCCAGACACAGAAAGTACCTTTTTCTTGGGTGGTTTCAGGACAGCTTCTCCGCCTCAGATGTAAGGTCCCCCGAGGGGACAAGAGAAGAACACCGGAGGCAGGTGGGGTGGGGGGAGCACAATCTGAAGCCCTATTTATTGAGGGGAGCTGTTGATAGAACACTCCATCCAAAAAATTGTTCTATTACAACAAACAGGGGGGTGTAACTCAGCCCCATTGGGGACACCCAATCCCTGAGCTGTACCTGCTGCAAGCAGAGGTGAGTCCACATGAATGCCAGCTCCTTACTCCAGACTTAAAGACGTGTGCTTAGCTCCTGTTCAGGGCGGCCTCCGACATTCAGTGATTTGCCTGAAGTCACGTGTACAGACTTCTAGAGACAGAGTCACATAGATGCTTAAGAAATTCCTTTTGTTTGAGAATTATGAATACTGAATGAATTTTAGACCAGAGGCCCTAAAGATTAAAATGTGGATATGAGGGTCTCTAGAAAGAATATTTCATCAGTGTAGCAACCCAGGAAAAGAGGCGTGGTCTTTGCCAACTGCGTTTTTTAATGGCATACAACAAAAACCCTCTGCTGTTTCTCCTGCCATGAATACTGGGGAACTTTGCATCTCGGGTAAGATGGCTGCAGTTGCCAGTCCTCGCCTTCTTCACTTAAATGGTGAAGGACTCCATTTAAGTGAGGAGCGGCAGGGCCACTGGAGCCCTTCTGCCAGTAAAAGCAGATACCTCTGTGTGCCCTGCTGCCCCTGGGCACGCAGGCTCTCAAAGCATCCCCAGGGAAGCTACCCACAGGTACAAGAGGAGAGTCAGCTGAGAGTGCAGAGTATGTATGTGTCAGTCATGTAGCTCAGAAGGGTCTGTGGGAGGAAACAGGCTGATTTTGAATTCAGAACATAAGCAGCCTAAGTTCTTAGAAGAAATACATCTATAGAGGCTGCTTAGTAATTCCCGCACACAAGAGTGTGGTCTCAGGAGAAATCTTTGTCTTTTTAAAATACCACAAAAATACTGGGGAATTATTTTGAAGTTAAAGTGTGATTCTAACGCCGATGAACAAAAAGATTTCTACAGACACAATACAAGCAGAAAAAACAAATTTGCCAGGAACTGAAATGCTTATCCAGACACATCAACTGCCGAAGTCCAGGGATGTCAGACTAGAGAAAAATTTCCACAGAGCAAGTACAGAGAGGCTTTGAAGTATGCGTGGAATGCTGAAGAGAAGGAAGTCCCTAATCGATAATCTTCCAAAGACTGTCAGCAGAACCTGGGCACAAGCCCATGCTTGAGCAAACACGAAGACAGTGGCTCTGGGGGGAACTGTCCCTGTGTTCTTGGCATTTGGAGTATATCAGACGTAGCAGTGCCTTTCAAGATGTGCCTGATGTCCCTGAGGAGTTTGGATGTACTGCCTTTTTTTATTCCGATTTAAAATTTGCTCACTGTAGAAAATTGAGAAATTAAAAAGTACTTAAGATTTCCCACAAAATTATCACCGTGGGTCTGGGAGTCAGTGGTAGAACATTTGCGTGCTCAAGGACTTGGGTTCAATCCCTAGAATCACAAAAGAGCAAAAGAAAACAAAACAAAACCACCACCCAGGGGAAACTGCAGGTAATATTTGACACCGATTTAGGACCATATGCTGTGTATTTATTACAATACATCATCCTTACCTTTCCCTGTCAAGTTCATACATTGATATTCTTTTGAGATTTCTCCTTAATTGTTAAGGTATACAACTATAATGTTAGGGAGAATTCTCCCTATCTGTTTGAGTTTTTTTGCTTTGATTTATGTATATATGTATATATATAGTTAGATATAGATATAAATATATATTTAGTTAGATTTATTTATTTTATTTTTATGTGGTGATGAGGATCGAACCCAGTGCCTCATAATTGCTACGCAAGCGCTCTGCCACTGAGCTACAATGCCAGCCCCTGTTTGACTTAATTTTAAAGATGACCAAAGAAGTAAATGCCTTTTCAAGTATCATAGCGTTATCTGCCAGGAAGAAATATAGACAACAGTGTATTTATAAGGCATGGATTATATTCTGGAATATTTCAGGGTTTATGAACTGGTGACTCGCCTCTCTACATTAACTGAACTCATTAGTGAAACCAAGTTTTAAGGGCAAGCTTAATTTGTCTTTAAAAATGGGATTTTAAAACATTGAAATATGTTTAAATGATCACCATTATTGGAACTTAATCATGTGATTTTTTTAAAAAAGAATTTCTTTTTTAGTTGTAGATGAACACAATACCTTTATTTTGCTTATTATTTTTTTTTTAATGTGGTGCTGAGGATCGAACCCAATGCCTCACGCATGCTAGGCAAGCACTCTACCCCTGAGCCACAACCCCAGTCCCTAATCATGTGATTTTTAAGGGAAAGTTATATTCCATGTGAATTTAAAATCATGAAAGTGAGTTTTAACTTATTTATAGGATATGAAGGAAGAAAACAGTCTGAATTAGCCCAGAGATTCCCAAGCTATAATTAAACCCCTTTACAAAAAAAAGAAAGTATAATTTTAAAGGACTAACAAATTTTCCCTATGATGTCTTAGAATATTTCTTGTGTATTGTGTTGGGGTCTTAGAAAGTGGGAGAGGAAAAGTAGGTTTTAGTTGGAAATTTTCCAGTTCTGATTTTAAAAAGGAGACAATTAATTAGAAGAATTTAGTGAGGGGTTTTTTTGTTTGTTTTGTTTTGTTTTTTGTGTTTGGCTTTGAGATCTTTTAGCTTGTCACTCAACAGGAGATCTGAAGATATTTCTGTGAGTTGTGCTCATTCCCCAATGCTTGGGCTATGCCCTGTTCAGAAGACCTGTTTAAGCAGCAGCTAGAGTCCCTTCCCCTGGGAAAGTCTTCCTGTTAATCTCTATGTGCTTCCAGTTTCTCTCATCTATGGTTAGGTTACATCCATCTTTAATTTTTCACATTGTTCCCCTTTACTCTTCCCTATAAAACTCTTAGCCCATCCATCTACGGTGGCCTGGTGGTATGAGTGCCCTTTGGGCCATCCCTCGGGCTGCTTTTAATTCTCGCCTCTTCAGTTTTGCAAAATGTCAAAACCATCCAGTGATGAGATAGGATCTGCCTATAAAACAACTAATAACCACTTCAATTAGTAGGTGTTCAGACTCAGGAGCAGTGTTTCCTCTGTGTAATTGGGATTAACAAGGGTCATGTGTTTGTTTACTTCCTATGGTGCCTGCTTACTTTGTTACTGTGTGACCCACCATGATGTAAATGTCATCCCCTAATATCTCATGAATCACCCGGTGCGTGGCCCTGCAGTGCTGTTGTCTGGTTCTGGTCCACAACAGGAGATGCCTTGGTTTCCTCTGCTGGGTGTTTTTTCACTTGTATTAGGACATGAATAGTGTGGAGTAAATAGTGAGTTAATATTTAAGATCAAAAATTCTTTTCTGCTATTTTCAATAACTGAGCTACATTTACACTTTCAGACCCAGCTAAATTCTCTAAAGTTCCTCTTGACAAGTTCTTTTTTAGGTTAATGTTGGCTAAAAATTCTCCTCTGATCCTTGTAGGAATCCAACCAAGCTGGTGAGACCGGAGGTTTTGTGCGAGGACCCCCAAGGTTGCCACCAAGGTAAGGAAGTGTGGGAAAAGTTAGAGAAAAATGAATGAGCCGGGCACTGTGGTGTGCACCTGTAATCCCAGCAGCTCAGGAGGCTGAGGCAGGAGGATTGCAAGTTCAAAGTCAGCCTCAGCAACTTAGTGAGATCCTGTCTCAAGATAAAACATTTTTTAAAAAGGGGAACTGGAGATGTGGTTGGTACCAAAAAATAAAGTAAAATAAAATGAATGACTCAGAGACCTGACGATCTTTTTGTATCATCCAGACCAAGTATTGTTGGTCTCAGATCTTTGTTTAGAGATAAAATAAACCCACAAATTCACCCCAGCTACCAGCCTACAGTCTGCTTCTGACAGCAGGTTAGAGGAATCTCTGCTCCTTTTTCTTTTAACATAGTCCAAAATTTTGCAGAGCACAAATGTGGATTTCTTTTACTTTTCCTCAAACAAATGAACAAGGCTCCTTTCCAAACCTACAACAACCCCACTTCTGGAACACACACACACACACACACACACACACACACACACCCTCCCAGTTAAGAGAGACAGGCCTGGTTCGGGGCATCTGTAAAGGGACACAGGCTTTGTGAATTCAGAGGTGACCTGCTTTCTGAGCTCCAGAACTGTCTGAACAAAAGGCTATAATGCTACCAGAAGACACTGCCATGTTGAAATTTATTTCTATCATAGTTTTTAAGAAAAAGCTTTCAACCTAAGAGTTGTCCTCTCCCATTTTCAAAATGAATTTTCTTTATGTTAATCTAAGTTAGTCTCAATAGTAACTCCTACCAGATGAACATCAGGGGGTTTTGATGTTCCTTTTCTAATCACATGCAAGCCCCCAGCACACATACCTGATATCTTATTATAAGCTTTTCATCTCAGACTTCGGTGGAAAAGTGCTTAGCTTCCTGAAATAGTCATGGTGTGTTTAAGAGCAGTCAGGGCCTCAGAGAGCTCGTGATAGTAAATGCTTGTTTGTCTTGAACTAATGAATCTCTGGTGCAAGATAACAGGAACCTGGAACATCATGGCATTTCCTCTAATAATATAATGTTTAATGCAGCAGTCATTTGCTCAAAAATAGCATACCCTGCAGGTTTCAGTAAATTGCACTCCACTTGCAGAAAGCTGTGAGGTGTCTTGTGTGTGTGTGTGTGTGTGTGTGTGTATACACCTATAGGAAAGGACAGAATGGAACCTAATACTGATCAAGACACTGACTCCTGACTTCCCATTGACTTTCAGACCCGTTAATGGAAAACCTACTCCAGCTAGACGGCCTCCTCCCAAAGGAGCCCCCGAGAGGCCACCTCCCCCAAAACTTCCTGCAACCCGAACATCAAATAAAAAACTGCCTTTTAGTCGGTCCTCTTCTGACATGGATCTTCAGAAAAAACAAAGTCACTTGGCATCTGGGCTCTCAAAAGCCAAGAGTCATATCTTTAAAAGTCAAGATCCGGTGCTACCCCCTCGTCCCAAACCAGGACATCCTCTGTACAGAAAATACATGGTAAGTTGGGCTTTTAAAAATGTTTGCGGTCAAGAGGTTTGTTCTACAATATATTTTAAAATCCATTATTCCCTAGAAAAAGATGGTGAAACAAATAGGAAATTGTTCCTTGACCCTAAGAGTGCTTTAGATAAGTTGATCAGAACACCACCTAGGCTTTGAAAGCAGGGTTTCATTAGTAGGAGAAACACAGGGGAAGAGGAAGCAGGCCACACGGGGGTTGTAAGGTGTTGACCAAGTGAAACTCAAAAACCTGACCCTGTAGGTTATGCTAATAGGAGTGACTGACAGAGAGTTATATCTTGATACAGTTTACATCTTAAGCAACTTTGCCCACTGAGTAAATTTGGGGGGTCGGGGGGTACTGGAGACTGAACTCAGGGGCATTTGACCACTGAGCCACATCCCCAGCCCTGTCTTGTATTTTATTTAGAGACAAGGCCTCACTAAGTTGCCTTGCTTTTGCTGAGGCTGGCTTTTGATATTCTCCTGCCTTGGCCTCCTGAGCCACTGGGATTACAGGTGTACACCACTGTGCCCAGTCCCCTGAGTACATTTTAAAATGAAGTTGAAGTGAAGTTTTTATTAAGGTGGGTGGATTTCCCACTTTTTTTTTTTTTTTTTTTCATTTTTTAAAGCCTAATTATACTGGAACCTTTAATAGCTACTAGTTAGCAGTTTTTATCAATAGGTAAGATACTAACGTTTTTCTCAAGTGACTTCTGCTTCCATTTCTCGTAGATGAAAAATAGCGTTGATGTGGTCTCTCCTTTGGTCAGGTTAATCTGATAAAATCTTTAAAATATTAACATGATGAGGAAATCAGGACTGTTTGTTCTTTTTAAACAATTAATGATAGAGTAGCTCTTAACAGGAACAGTAGTTAATTATTTTGTCTTGTTCCATGTTTCCATCATTGAGTCAGGAATTTTCTTTTACTTTAAGTCATTCGGGGTTTTGTTAATTTTTTTTTTTTTAAGAGAGAGAATCTTTTTTTTTTTTTTTTTTTTTTTTTGTATATGGACACAACACAATGCCTTTATTTTTATGTGGTGCTGAAAATTGAACCCGGGTCATGCCCATGCTAGGCAAGTGCTCTACCGTTTAGCCACGATCCCAGCCCTAATTTGTTTTTTAATCCTCCTTTGAAAAAGGAATAGACAGATGAGGAGGTAGACTATTCATATATATTCATATTCATTTAAATCAATGAAACTTTAATTGCCAAAACTCACAGGTGGTACCAGAGATGTAGGGAACCTGCCTAGCATGTGTGAGGCCCTGGGTTTGATCCCTGAGACCACCAAAAACAAAACCCATGGACTGGGATTGTGGCTCAGCAGTAGAGTGTGTGGCTAGTGTGTGCAAGGCCCTGGGTTCGATCCTCAGCACCACATAAAATAAATAAATAAAATAAAATATTGTGCCCAACTACAACTAAAAAATAAATATTAAAAAAGAAAAAAAACCCAAAGGTATTTGGGGGGATAGGTTGTTGATAATAAAAACAATAGCTGAGCCAGGGGCACACATCTGTAATCCTCGCAACTCAGCTCAGGAGGCTGAGGCAGGAGGATTGCAAATACAAGGCCAGCCTCAGCAGCTTAGTGAAACCCTGTCTCAAACTAAAAAACAAAACAAAAGAGGAAGGGATGTGGCTCAGTGGTAAATCACCCCTGGTGTTATATCCAAAGTGTCAACAACAACAACAAAAAAATAGTAGCTGATGGGTATTGAGTACTGATTATGAGCCAGGCACTGTTCGAAGGTTTTATATAGGTAAAGTGCTCGTTTATTCTTCCCATCAACCTTGTGAGTTGATAAAATTATTATTCCTCATTGTACAAATGAGGACAATAAGATGAGAAAGAAGCCAGCCAGTGGTGGAACCAAGATTTGAACGTAGATAACTAGCTCTGACCCCCTGCTCCTAACCATTAGGCCATATTATGAACACAGTGTTACCAATTGTAAAGACTCTACTTGCTTTGGACATTCTGTTAGGATTCCTTACTCAGTATAACTGCATACCAATAAAGTATTTAAAGAACTCAAAGGAAATCAATACATGTAACATGATGGTATGATGAGAATGGTGTGTCTCCTAAGGAAATAATTCCTTAAATTTTCCCTCATTTTTTTCCATGGCTACCCTACCATTAAATTGCTAGCAGGGAATCCTGGGACACCAAGGAGATGTCTGGAAGTGATGCTGCTCCACCCAGCCTTACAGGGCCACACCCGCACACTTCCCTATCTTTGTTCTTGAGTGACCCAAGGGCCCAGGCAGCCACCCTTTAAGAAGGCAGTCATTTTGAGAACTCTGAATTAAAGACGGGCTTTGATAGGCGGCAAGGTCAGACCCCCAGGGGACTTGGTGGACCTTCCCTGTAGAAAGGAACTTCTTAGTTGTTAGTTATTAAGGGAACTTTAGGCCCCATGCAGCCCTGGTGGTCCCCTGGGCTCCACCTCACCTCCCATGAACTTGAAAGTCCAGGAGACGCGCAGGCCCCCCTCCACGCAGGTGTGAGGTAGCCTGATCAGGAGAGTTGAGGCACACACGCCGAGTCCCTCAACAATCAGCAGCTCGTGAGGAGGCTCCTTGATTGTGAATGATTCTCCTGTTGGTTTTCATTTAAGCTGTCTGTGCCTCATGGAATTGCCAATGAAGACATTGTCCCACAAAACCCTGGAGAACTCTCTCGTAAGGTAAAGTGGAGCTCTTTCTTTACTGACGGGTGTGAAAAATCGCCAGCCTCTGTTACTGCTATTACACATTATTAAATGCTTTAGGCTCCAAAGATTAAAATGTGGAAAAGTAATAATGTTTTATTAAATAATAATTGCTTCAGAGAGTGGTATTGTACCTTCCAGTGTGGTGACGTACTTGTGATGCTGAAGCAGGCAGAAAATAATTACCTGGAATGCCAGAAGGGAGACAGGACAGGCAGAGTTCACGTGTCCCAGATGAAGATTATCACTCCTCTTGATGAGAGGACCATCAGATGAGCAGACCCAACGGAAGGAATTAATGTTGTACAGCCTTCATATCACACATGGCGGCACATCTCATAGAACTATTAATTATATTGCAGCCCCAAGTTTTTTATTAGGAAAGTTATCTTAACCAGAGTGAAAATTACAGTAGCATTCTGTTCCATTTTTAGAATGAATGACTTGAGGCTGGCCTCTGCCACCCTAATCACTCTGCTGCACATACTGACTGGGGTATTTTGCCACCTTCCACGGTGCAGGATCACTTGTGACCTTACTTGTGAAAGCCGGAGCACTCACTTGTGAACTCCCAACTGTGGGAGCCGTTTATGTTTTTTAAATAATATAAACATGTTTGCCAAAGTGCCAGAGATCCATTTTCCAGCAGAATGGGTAATGATTTTAAAGGGGGTCCTATAAATGTTAAGTGTGACATTAAACACACACACACACAAACACTTCCTTTAAGATGTAAGCTTAGTGCAATCGTCATTTTGTAACCCAACAACCTTGAGTCACATTTTAAGCCTAACAAATTTGTGGAGCCTGGGCTGGGGCTGTAGCTCAGTGATAGCAGTTGCCTAGCATGTGTGAGGTACTGGGTTCGATCCCCAGCACCACCTATAAATAAATAAATAAAACAAAGGTCCACCGACAACTAAATATATATATTTATTTGGAGCCTGGGAAGATACAAAGATTGTTAAATGTCATTTGTTTAGCAAGAAACATGCTGTCAAACAATTCATAGATGGATTTTTTTTTTTTTTAAGTTTTAGGTGGATACAATATCTTTATTTTACATTTATGTAGTGCTAAGAATCAAACCCAGTGTCTCACGCATGCTAGGCAAGCACACTACCACTTGAGCCACATCCCCAGCCCTAGAGGGATATTTTTTAAAGAGCGTCCAGTTTTCACTGTTAGTTAATGTCAAATATATAAAAAATAATTCCCACTAGTCATTCAACCCAAGTAAAGTATTTTGTTTTACCGTTTTATTTTCATTTTTATAATCTCATTCAATTCTTCTTAGAAGGCAGTTTATCTTAGAAGATTTGCTTAAGAAACTAAGAATTTGTATTTTGTGGAGCAGAGAAAAATACACGGTCAGCCAGTTGCAGCTGGTTGTGAAAATTCTAAGTTCAGTTCACATAAGTTGTGTTACTTATTCTGTCTGTATTGGTACAGCGTTATCCAACTGTCCTCGCGTCCTTCCTCTTTCAGAACACACTGATGTTAACCATGAGGTACATGCCCCAAAGCTATCCTTAAAAAACGAAAGCTAAAAAATGAGGTGTTATTCTTTTATAATGTCCAAAGTGTTTCCACTTTAAACATCACCTTCTCATCTTGTGCTCCAGGCTTGCAGAGGTGGCCTCGGGTGGCCATTTCATTATCACTGTAGGTGATGGTGTCAGTGGTAAAATCAGTGCAGTTACCAATAACGACAATGAAATGAATCCTCCACTAGGCTTTTGGGTTCATGGTTATCATTAAGTTTCTTAGGAAAGCAAAACTTACCTGGGGATGTGGCTCAGGGATGGAGTGTCTGCCTGGCATTTATGAAGCCCTTGGCTCGATCCCTGGCACCACAAATAAATATACATCAGTGCTTCCTGCTTTGTGTGGGTACCTGTGAATAAATAAACAAAAACAACAACAAAAAAAGAAACCTTACTGTTTGAAAATCTGGTTTTGAGGTAAATATCTCTAAGAATGTTTTACTTTTCCCTAATTTGGTAAAAAGAGAATATTGGCCATTATCAATTATAGTTGAATCCGATGGATCCTGGGAAATCTGGGAGGTTCATGGTTGAACTCACACCCAGTTACAGGAAGCGAGGCGTCAATTCACCTGCTCCCTTACAACACAGGTGTTCATCTAACCGTCTACATTTTGTTTTTTAATGTGTGAAATAAATATGACAATACCTCATGGAGTTGATTTTAGAACTGACATATTATATGATTCCATATGAGGTAAAGATGATTCCATTTAAGGTAAAAGTAAATCCATGGAGATAGAAAGGTAGGTTCGTGGTTACCTTGGACTGAGGTAGGGGTTGTGCAATTCTGTGAATAAACTAAAACCGCACACATGCTACACGGGGTGGTTTATTGTATATGAGTTATGTCTCAAAGGTGTTTATCAAATTAAATGAGCTAATGTCTAGAGGTGTTACACACAGTAAGTAGCACACAGCAAACGAACAATAAATATTAGCTTTCTTATTGTTATCATACCATTTGTATCAGCACTGCTATAGAAAGCCCTTTGAAATATATTAGATTTACCTACCACGTACCCACCCTGACACGGGTCTGTGTTCAACCTCTTGTGGACAACCCTCTCCAGCCTGTTCCATTTGCCCTTCACCTGACAGGCCAAGTTGATGGGCATCATTGCCAGGGATCTCCCTACACTGAAGGCAGAGAAGGGGAACCGCAATCAGGAGGCACAAGTAACCTTCCCCAGCCTCCCAGGCTTGGTTACCTTTAGATCACTGGTCCATTTTGAGGCTTAGGTTTGTGTTAGGTGTGAGGTTGATCTCTGACTTTATTTTTTCCAAATGGATAGCCATCTTCCCTGATATTATTTATTGAGTAGCCATTCTTTCTCCATAGATATAAATCAGTACAAAACAAAAATCACATATGCATGGGTAATAAATTACCAGCACTGAAGAGCTTTGAGTTACAGCACTCCAAATAGCATCCCTCCATCAGGTTTGATGGTGAAGGTGATGATGTGGATAAGCCTTGTTTCTTAAAGAACGTGAGAATAACAACGGTTTGTCATTAAGAAGGTCCCTCTTCAACCCTGCCCTCTCCTCCAGCCAATCGAGACCATTGGCTAGGTGGGTGGGGAATATCGCATTCATTCTCTTTGCTAATTTATTTAGAATTACTGTTGAATAAACGATTCAGATTAAATAGAAAATCCAGGCCAGGCATGGGAGGTAGAATTGCTTTCAAATTAGAGAAGACATTCAATTAAGTGGTAATAAATGAAATGGATTTTACCTTTTGTGAATTATACTTCTGTGGGAAGTCATTAGCTGCCTTCATTATAAAAGGCAAGAACATAAATTGTGGAACTTTCTTCTTTTCCCATCCTAATAAAGACACAACTTCTAAGGCTCTGTTCTTAAGGATTAGTCTTAAGGGGAAAACTACCTACCCTTCAAAGGGGAAGAGGTCACAAACCACTGCTTTGGGGGAGAATAAATAATACTGCTTTTTTTTTTTTTTTTTTTTAAGCAGTACTCTCCCTTTTTAAATTTTCTTGGTTGGAAAAAAATATGCAGGGAATATTATAATTGAGAGTTATTTCTGTCCCCCCTTGGCAAGGTAACATTCTTTTTCAGCTTGATAATGGTTCCCTTGTGTAGTTTACCTGTGTGGTTTTCATCTTGTACTCATAATGTAATTGTGGCAAGCGGACTCTAATGAGAAAAAAAAAATGGCTTCAGAGTGAATAATGAATCTAGCATCTAGCTGGGTGCAGTGGCGCACGCCTGTAATCCCAGCAATTTGGGAGGCTGAGGCAGGAGGATTGCAAGTTCGTGGCCAGCCCTCGAAATTTAGTGAGGCCCTAGGCAACTTAGCAAAACTCTGCCTCAAATTTTTTTAAAAAGGAGGGCTGGGGCTATAGCTCAGTGGCAAAGTGCTTGCCTAGCATGTGTGAGGCACTGGGTTTGATCCTTGGCACCACATAAAAATTAACAAATAAAGGCATTCTGTCCATCTACAACTACAAAAAAAAAAAATTCTTTTTTAATTCAATAAAAAAGGACTGGAAATGTAGCTCAGTGGTAAAGTGCCCCTGGGTTCAATCCTCAGTACCAAAAATAAAATCTAGCATCCATCCTGAATACTTCATTCACAGCCCTGTTTCTCCCCCTAGGATCCAAGCCCTGCTCAGAAACCTATGGACAGTAGTGCTCCTCATGCTGTCGTTCTTCATGATTTTGCAGCAGGTAAGGACATAAATAATAGATTGTTATTACAGGATCCAGGAGTGAGTCATCATCCCTGGGTTAATGAACCTCCCAAGACATCCTTCTTTATTTTCTGCCTGTAGAATCCTTGACTAGAGATATCATCTAACCCATCACCTGAGGAAGGGGGCCAACTGTACCCAGCCATTCCAGAAAGCCTCGTTGTAATCTTGGTGTGGTGGTGCACAACTATAATCCCAGGGGCTTGGGAGGCTGAGGGAGGAGGAGGATCATGAGTTCAAAGCCAGCCTCAGCATTTTAGCAAGGCACTAAGCAAATTAGTAAGGCCCTGTCTCTAAATAAAAAATAAAAAGGGCTGGGGATGTGGCTCAGTGGGTAAGCCCCCGTGGGTTCAGTGCCTGGTACCAAAAAAAGAAAAAAAAAGAAAGCTTAGTTGCATACCTTGCCTTTGATACTCTCTGAGAGGGAGTTTCTCATGTAAATAAACAAAGCAAAGTGTCTGGCAGTTACAAACTTGTAGTGGATACTAATTAACAATTGTAATGTAGTTAATTATAATTTAATAAATTAAGTTCTTTAGTCCCAAGAGTTGTCTTACGTACTATTGAACTATGAGATCAAACTATTAAATTTTTGGCCAGATACGGTGTCATCCCAGCAACTCAAAAGGCCGAGGCAGGAAGATCACAAGTTTGAGGCCAGCCTCAACAACTTACCAAGAACCCGTCTCAAAATTTTAGAAAAGTGGAGGTGGGACTGAGGATGTAGCTCTGTGCTTGAGCCCCCGGTGTTCAATCTCTAGTACCATACACATGCACACAAAAGTTAATTTTTTGTAATTTTTAAAATACCCTTCATATTCAAGGCTAAAAAGAAAATAAATACTTGATTTATTTATGACATCTTTTTAATCCATTTGGTAGACTGATTTTTATCTCAGTGAGGGAAAATTTACTTAGAGCTATAGGACTCCCTTAGTTAATATTTGAGGCTAAAGTGATTTTTAAGCATGATTGAGAATAATGATAATATTATACCATGTCTATAAAACCCTTCCATTGTTCAGTGTGCATTCAGCAAGAGGTTTTTATTGGCACAGTAGGAATCACTGGTCAGCACAATGGTTGTTTGTTTTTTTTATCACCATTTCCCATCAATCATTGCATAGTAGATATGTCTAGTTTGATGTTAGGAGGAGCTTATATCATGAAAATTTTCAAAATATATATTTTCAATAAGTTTGGTTAGTGTGCTCTGTCAGAGTCAGTAGAACGTAGGGCCTCCATGGGCAGAACTAAATGCCTCTTTGTTCTCGACTTTAATGAAATATGCAATCAGGATAATTTATCATACGTAACTGTGATCTGCTGTTACAGAGCAAGATGACGATTTGAATCTCACATCTGGAGAAATTGTTTATCTTCTTGAAAAAATAGACACAGATTGGTACAGAGGGAAATGCAGAAGCCAGACTGGCGTATTTCCTGCCAACTATGTCAAAGTAATCGTAAGTGACATGTGCTCATTTTAATTGGTCCCATATTCAGTGGGTTCCAAGTGACTTGCAGATTGCTAAAAAGCGACCAGAAGCCTAGATTCTGGAGTTCTAGTTCTCCCTTCCATTGATTAATTTGTCATTTGGGAAGTTCAAAAGTCAAGAGTTATTTCAGTAATGAGTGATCATTTTTCTTAGATGATGAGGTCTTAGAACGTAATACCTGAATGCCATCTGAATCCAAAAGTGAATGCCACACAGGCCACTTGGTGAACCACCTATTCCTGGGTTGTTAAACACTTCATGATATGTTAATTCTTTGGGACTTTTAGTGAACATGAATTAAATGGTACCAGACTGTCCTGAAAGAAATGTTTGCAAGGTTATGGTACCACTTCTCATTTTCTTTGGAGTACATTTTATTTTTGGCTTCTTTCTTTTCTTTTCCTATTTATCTCCATCTTTCAAAAAAAAATTGGGGTGATACTAATCTAGTTATTGGACCTAATGGTTCATTAATGGTTTTTCACATAATAATTTCAAATTTGATTAGGAAAAAATTATATTAAAGCATCAGTATTGCATACGCCCTCACAGCCTAACTTGGAGTGCCTACCTGTGTGTTGGAGCTTCATGTGCTAAGACCAGATGACTGTGCAACATGAGGATAAAACAAGATTGCCCATTGAGGGCTGGGGATATAGCTCAGTTGGTAGAGTGCTTGTCCCGCCTTCATAAGGCCATGGGTTTAATCCCCAGCACCACAAAAAAAAAAAAAGATTGCCCATTGAACATTTGTATCCATAGGAAGATTATGACTCAGCCCCATGTGACTTATTGATAAATACTATGAAATATCAATAACTCTAGCTTAAATAATTCAGCTTCAGCCAGGTGCAGCGGCGCATGCCTGTCATCTCAGCAGTTCGGGAGGCAGAGGCAGGAGGATCATGAGTTCAAAACCAGCCTCAGCAACAGTGAAGCTCTAAACAACTCAGTGAGACCCTGTCTCCAAATACAAAAAGGGGGGTACTGGGGATGTAGCTTAGTGGTCTAGTGTTCCTGAGTTCAATCCCTGGTATCCTTCACCACCCCCACACCCCCCCCCCCCCCCCCCCCCCAAAAAAAAAAAAATAGTTTCGCTTCCACAGCTTACAGGGGGGAAGAGAGCAATTTTCCATTACATCTGAAACAAGTATAACAGGAAATGTGTATTTTTCAAGTAGAAATGAGTGTGTCTCTTGGATTACAAAATGCCATTCTTAAAATTGTCCAGTGTATATATGGCCTGATTCTTTGGAGAAATTCAAACCACATTCTCTAAATTAATATTAAGAATAATGTTGGTTTTAGCACTCTTCCTCATTTTTCTTCTGCCCAATGGAGCAGTACTTTAAAAAGCACAATTACCACACTGAAATCAATCACAGCAAGCCTGCCACATTATTGGTATAAATGTTATTTCTAAGCCCACAAGTTTAAAAAATTGTTTTAAAACTTCGAACTTGGTAGAATTCATCAAGAAGGGTACTGATTTATTTAATATAAACCTCATAGCCTTAAGTAGTTTCAGACTGCGTATATATGGCCAACAATTTTATTACAGCCCAGCTCCTTTGAGCCTTGTAGATTATATATAAAGTGCCTGCCAGTTAGTACATGCTCACTTAGGTGAATACCTTTCTTCTTTCCCTATTCACATTGAAGGGGAAAAAAAGATGTTCCACAGTTATGGATATGAAGAGGATCCACAAGTTTGGTCAAATTGTTTTGTTTGGGGGTTTGAAGAGTAATTCAGAATCCTGCTGTCGATGTGAACGGGTGTGGTAGTGCCCATGTGCGACAGCATTAATGCCTTAATGGCTGGTTCCTTTCTTAAATCCTTCTCAGCTGAAGTTTTCATCTTGGAGAACCAAGCTTAGAGAAAACTCAGTCAGAAGTAGAATCTGAATGTGCTTATCCCAGCAAGTAAGAGAAGGGTTGATCGCCGACTCAAGGAGGGCTACTTCACGAGCTGTACATTTTTCCCAAAATCCACATGCTGGATTTTTTACTGTTTAGCACCTGTGGTATAACAAGTTTAACACCTAGTTAAGCTAGTTAATTTCAGTCATGCATTTCCTAACTTCTTGGCCTGAAATTTATCCTACTAAAGTCCAGCCTGGTGTGATGGCGCATGCCTATAACCCCAGCCTCTCTGGAGGCTGAGGCAGGAAGATGGCAAGTTCAAGGATAGCCTGGGCAACTCAGAGAGACCTGTCTCAAGATTAAATAAATAAATAAATAAATAAGACTGGGGATGTAGCACAAAGGTAGAGCACTCTTGAGTTCAATCCTCAATATAAGTGAAAATAAACAAAATATATATAGATATATATCTTATTGAAGTTTGGAAAAAAAAAAATACAATTGTTACCATGATTTTGTCTTTACTAGGTTGATATTCCAGAAGGAGAAAATGGGAAAAGAGAATCTGTTTCATCTCATGGTGTTAAGTAAGTTCTATGTATGTTCCTTTGCATGAAATATAGAGGAAGTAAGAATTTATATCATGAAGAATTACCAAGCTTAAACACTTCCAGTGTGTAATATTCAGATTCTCTCTCTCTTTTTTTGTTTGTTTTTAATTATGAGGAAAGCTTTGTTTTTTTAAAAAAGCCAAAGTGGGTTCAGGTTTTGCTGAAAATTCTGTGTGTTGATAGTAGCTGTCCATCCAGTGCTTACAGAGAGCTGCTGGGGGAGCCAAGCCTGCTGCCTCTAAGGTCTGGCTTTGGCCTGGGCAGAGATGGTTTGTTGGCCTTCTAGTGTAAGATTCAACTGTTTTGTCAGGAAAAACGTTTGAATCTTACAGAAATGTGGGTCATACGAAAACCACTAGATGGGGCTGAGGGTGTAGCCTCAGTGGTAGAGCACTTGCCTGGTAATGTACAAACCAGGCCCTGGGTTTTGTGGCTAGGACCACAAAACAACAACAACAACAAAAAATCCCTGCTAGACATGTTGTATTATTTTGCTTTCAAAAAGAACTAGAAGAAAATAAAGGAAGAGTTAAGTTGAAGGGATCTTTCTGTATGTCTAAAGACCTTTGCTTGAATTTATAAACCCTTTTATGCATCATTGTAACTCCTTGGTGATTTAAAACCCTGCCAAAATGCAACTTTATATTCTAGTAAAATGAGCAAATTAATAGAATTCACTACCTGCAGGTGACTGTAAACCTGTCGATGAATAGGTCAGACATAAGGAGATGCTCCCAGGGGACTTGAGAAAATAAATGCAAAGGTTATCACAAATAAGAAAACTTCCGTTGCCACAGCAGTGAATTCAGTTTCAGGTTCCACTTTTCTCCTGTTTTTGAGCAGCACGGACCATATCAACAGTTTAATTTAAAGTAGGCTTGAACAGCCATGGATCCACTGACCTGACTTCAACCAGAACTTGAGTGGATCCAGGATCCACCTGTTCTCTTCAAACACCTTGCTATAGAAACTTCCTTCCTGAAGTTTCAAATCAAAGGTTTGATATTAAATCAGACCTTCTAGAGACACAAGTTGGCTCTGCTTTTATGTTGTTTTTGGTCAAAATTGTACACCACTTAAGGATTGTTCCAAGTCTCATAAACAAAGCCTTTTTTTAAAGGAGATATAAAAATCATTTCATAAAGGAACAGAGTTGGTAGATTACATGTTTTGAAGTACCAAATTTCTGTTTTCTTCCAACCTTTCCAATTTGTGAGGCCATTCATCTATACATTCAGCTCATCAACTGATGGGCCCATCTGAAGCTACTGCGTGCTGCCCTGATTCTTGCTCAGGCAGTTTGGTGTCTTTGCCCTGAGATTCTTGGGATAGGGCCCCTAAACCAAATGCACTTGTGATTGAAAGGCTGCAGGCGGGATCATGGATTGGTGTGGCCCACAAACACATGGAGTCTAGAATGATTCTGTAATGAAGTAAAAATGATCAAAAGACAGGCATGGCAGCATGAACCAACCATTCAGCTGCTTCTCTGTTCCTCTGCGTGTATTCTGTGACCTTGAGCTTTCTGAGTGAATCAGCTCACATCCAAACAGTAAGCGCTGTCCTTTAGATGTGTCACTTACTCTTTTTCATGGAAAATGTTAAAATTATCCAAAATATACCTTGTTCCATATTAAACACAGAATAAATGTCTATTGAAAGACTGAGTGAAGGTTTTGAAGCATTTTAGAAGTTAGTACTGTTTTATGGAGTGAAGTGTTGCCCCAGTTCTAGAATTGAAAATAAACCTAGTTAAAATCTTTTATATGTTTATATTAACTGCAGTCCCAGGGGTTTGGGATGCTCCTGAGTTCCATTCCCAGCCTCAGCAACTAAGCAAGGCCCTAGCAACTTAGTGAGACCCTGTCTTAAAATAAAAAACAAAAAGGGTAGGGTATGTACTCAATGGCAAAGCACCTCTGGATTCAATACCCAGCGCCCCTCCTCAAAAAAAAAATCAGTATTCTCCAGTTTAACCCACAGATGTGTTCTTTGTTCAGAAATACAAGATGTGTTGCTCGGTTTGAATATATTGGAGACCAGAAGGATGAGTTAAGTTTCTCAGAGGGAGAAATGATTATTCTTAAAGAGTACATGAATGAGGAATGGGCAAGAGGAGAGCTTCAAGACAGAACTGGGATCTTCCCTCTTAACTTCGTGGAACTTGTTGAGGATTATTCCACCTCTGGTGCAAATGTTTTAAGTGAGTATAGAAAATACGGGTTTTTAAAAAATTATGTCATATTCTAATTTAAATAAGCTAATAATATGATAATACTTAATAATACTTAAGTTGTATAATCCACATGGACATATTTTTAAGGTAGAAGGGGAAATATTTTAAGTGATGATTTATATGGATAGCTATTACTGTGATCATCTCTGAGCTGATTTTGTTGTTTTAGGTTAATTAACAATAGTGTCATTTACAAAGTGGCCAGGATTTCTTAAACACATGAGCTATACAGTTTAATTAATGTGTATCCTTCTTCACTTTAGAGTAATAAAACAATCCCAGAGAGGGGATTAGAGATCAAGGGACATAGCTAATAACTGAAGACACTGGTCTGGAATTCCAGACTTTCGCCTCCCACCCCCACCTAAACGTTTTTCTCTAATACCAGTGGTCTTCTCATCTGACATTTTGACCTTTTGTTTTTAATGTAGGAACAAAGATACCACCAAAGACCAAAAAAGAAGATTCTGGCTCACATTCTCAGGTAGGCTGTTGGAGTGGGTGACTGTTGGGACAGCCAGCTTTAAACCCTGGGAGGAATATTAAAATTACAATTACCAGGGGCTGGGGATGTGGCTCAAGCGGTAGCGCGCTCACCTGGCATGCATGCGGCCCGGGTTCGATCCTCAGCACCACATACAAACAAAGATGTTGTGTCCACTGAAAAAACTAAAAAATAAATATTAAAAATTCTCTCTCTCTCTCTCTTTAAAAAAAAAAATTACAATTACCAAGAGAAAACAGTATGAAATAATTTTTCAATTCATATAGCAAATGTTTGTAATAAATTAAATAGTAAGACGATTAATTCAATGTAATATTATACATAGAGCTTATTCAAAGACATATAGATCCTGACAGAAAATGAGGAAAGAAGCCATCCACTGGTGGTATTCCCTGTCGTCCCAGGAACCCAGTGGTGGAGGCAGGAGGATTGTTTGAGCCCCAAGTTGAAGGCCGTAGTGTGTTATGCCCATTGGGTGTCCATACTAAGCTGAGCACTGATACGGTGGCCTCATAGGACCTACCAGCTTGCACATGCTTCAAGCACTGGAGTTGCAGCCAGACACTCCAGCCTGGGCAATGAAGCACACGTTGTCTCTTGAAGAAAACAGAAATGGCAGACACACCTGTAATCATCCCAGTGGCTCAGGAGCTGAGGTAGGAGGATCCCAGATTCTAAGGCAGCCTCAGTAATTTAGTAAGGCCCTGTCTCAAAATTAAAAATAAAAAAAAAGGTTGGTGATGTGGCTCAGTAGGTAAGTGGCCCTGGATTCAATCTCTAGTACCAAAAAACAAAAAAAAAAGGAAGAGGAGGAAAAAGACACAATTGGAGAATTCATAAAAAAGTTGTAAGTGGCTGATACCTTACTAGTAATCAAGAAAATATAATAAAGCAGCAATAAAATAGTATTTTATTTAAAATTATATATATATTTTTAATTTTGGAGAGGGTACCAGGAATTTTGAACTCCGGGACACTCAACCACTGAGCCATATCCCCAGCTCTATTTTGTATTTTATTTAGAGACAGGGTCTCACTGAGTTGTTAAGCACCTCGTCCTTGCTGAGGCTGGATTTGAACTCAAGGTCATCCCATCTCAGCCTCCCAGGCTGCTAGAATTACAGGCAAGTGCCATTGCGCCTAGCTTAAAATTATATATTTTTTAAGATGATTACTTGTGTTATATGAATTTCATGCCAGTGTGCTTTTGTTTTTGTGTTTAGTTGTAAATGAACACAACACCTTTATTTTATTTATTTATTTTTATGTGGCACTGAGGATCGAACCCAGTGCCTCACTGAGCCACAATCCCAACCCTTAAAATTATATTTAAGAAAAAAGTTGGGCTGGGGATGTGGCTCAAGCGGTAGCGAGCTCGCCTGGCATGCATGCGGCCCGGGTTCGATCCTCAGCACCACATACAAACGAAGATGTTGTGTCCGCCAGTAACTAAAAAATAAATATTAAAATTCTCCAAAAAAAACACAGTACATGTATGAAGACATGAATTGGTGTCAACATACTTAAAAAATTATCAGAAACTTTTATTTCTGAAACTTAATAGGAACATAAAATATTGGGTAATTTAAGAAGACTTCAGGCTTTGAAATCTTAAAGACCCTTAGTTTTTATTATTCCCCCCCCCACCCCCGCCACTTTTTTTCTCTTTTTTTGTACCAAGGATCGACCCTAGAGGTGCTTTATCTCTGAGCTACACCCCAAGCCCTTTTTTATTTTGAGACAGGTTCTTGCTAAATTGCTGACGCTGGCCTTGAACTTGAAATCCTCCAGCCTCAACCCCCTGAGTAGCTGGAATGCCAGGGCCCAGCCTCACCATTTTTTAAGCTTTGTAGAACTCAATTTGAAATATAAACTCACATTTCTTACCAGCCTTTTGCTTCATAACAGGACAACAGCCTTTCTGGAGAATGGTGCAGAGCTCTCCACAGTTTTACAGCAGAAACCAGTGAGGACTTATCCTTCAAGAGGGGGGACCGGATCCTGATCCTCGAGCGTCTGGACTCCGACTGGTATCGGGGCAGACTGCACGACAGAGAGGGGATCTTCCCAGCAGTTTTTGTGCAGCCCTGTCCAGGTATGACAGCTACAAGACATGGCCCTTACTCTTCAAGGGGAACCAGAGGCCTCATATATATTCCTTTTCCCCAGCCATGTTAGTTTAAGTTATTTGAAAGAGTTCATCCATAAAGATATGCAAACTTCATTCATAGTCTACTTTGTTAGAGTTATAAAAAATATAAAACTGCCTTCACTAAATAATGGCTGATTATGTCTGTTAAATATATTTTACATAATTGTTTTCTACTAAGAGAACATCCTTCATCTTTTTGCAAGTTAATTCAAAACAAATTGAAGATGTTCTATTCTGAGAAGGACAGGGGGGTTCTTGAAATGCTCGATTAGTGTTTTAGTCCATTGTGTTTCCATACATTGGAATTTTTCATATTTTTACAGCTGAGGCAAAAAGTATGTCTGCCATATCACTGAAGGGGAGAAAGGCCAAAGCCTTGTATGATTTCCAGGGGGAGAATGAAGACGAGCTCTCCTTCAAGGTCAGAATGTGTATCTTTGTATACCTGGAGTAAGCACTGTTTCTTTTGAAGTGTCTTCCATTGGGTGGGATAGTAATCGTTACCTAAGACTGAAGGAATCTCACACTTTCATTCTAAGGGAAGGAGTAGAGAAAGTGCACTAGGCAAATAGAACTAATAATTTACATTATCAACCAGACATGAAGGTTCTTCAAGAAAACTTGACTTAATAATCTCACAGCCCTCAAAGTAATTCCTTGTTCTTGTTGTTATAACCTCGGTTCTTAGTAATCTGGTAGTTTCCATTAGCTGCTCTAATAAAGGGCAATCCTCTACGTGGCCCTCACGGCCTGCTACCAACACGCCTTTGAAATCAGTGAAGAGGGGCTGGGGTTGTGGCTCAGAGGTACAGCGCTCGCCTAGTATGCGTGAGACACTGGGCTCATCCTCAGCACCACATAAAGATATTGTGTGTCCACTTATAACTAAAAAATAAATATTAAAAAAAAAAAGAAATCAGTGAAGAAACAGGTGATAGCTGCTACAGTTTGCCATTGTGGCATTGTAGCTCAGAAGACACTGTGTCTTGTCCACAGAGACATTCAACAGAGCTTTGCGGTTTTAGTTCCAAAATGCTAACCTACTTTCAAAGATGTTTGTTTGTTTGTTTTGGTTCTAGGGATAGAACTCAGGGGCACTTGACCACTGAGCTGCATCCCCAGCCCTATTTTTTATTTTATTTAGAGACAGGGTCTCACTGAGTTGCTTAGTGCCTCGCTGTTGCTGAGGCTGGCTTTGAACTCGAGAGTCTCCTGCCTCAGCCTCCCAAGTTGCTGGGATTACAGGTGTGCGCCAACATGCCCAGCTAGTTTTCTTTTTCTTTCTTTTTTTTAAAGCCTAAAATATCCCTAATCTTACTTTACCAAAGAAGTACCTATTATACACCTATCAGTGTCTCTCAGTACATTTTCACAAGTTCACCCAGAGCTTAAAACCTCTCCTGCTTTTTGTTTAAGGGAAGTTGAGTTCAATTTTATTTTTCCTATTGTAATATTCTTCAATAAAATTTTCTTTCCTGTTTGAAAAAAAAGAAGTACCTCTTGGGCAGAGATTGTGGCTCAGAGGTAGACCGCTTGCCTAGCACTGGGTTCCATCCTCAGCACCACATGAAAGTAAAATAAAGAAAGATATTGTGTCCACTTATAACTAAAATATAAAAGAAAAAAAGAAGTTACCTCTTAATTTTTCTTAAAGTGAAAATGGATTATTTCCATGATTCTATTTCCCTTGGGCCATGGTCAGGGAAAAACACCCAGGACAGTGCCCTGGGGACTGTGTGCTAGAGGAGGGGGAGGGAGATTTCAGTAGTCATTACTGTCAGCATAGCCTGTGGGAGACAAAGGTCAAGTCTCCATGTGGAGGGTATTCAGCCTGAAGGACTGATGAGAGGAGATGAGACTTGAGACCTTGGGTGCCCAAATAAGGTTTTTACTTGTCTGTAACAGAATGAGGAAAATAAGGCACTATTAGGTATTAGACTTTGGGGGAGTAAGGGAGGTGGGCAGAGGTGTGTTAGAATAAGGTTGCTACCTTTCCTACTTCAGGATAGACTTATCCTTTGAGAATGCTCTTCTGACGTTTTCATATTGAAATGCCGTTTCTATTATAAACCGTTTTAGTAAGTGATAGATAATTTCCTATATCCTAACTATGCAAAATTCAGTTGTTAACTCTATATTAGTATTTTTTTTTTAATATCTTGATCCTTAAAATCCAAAAGTTTAGAAACATTGCCCAAGTCCTCTTCAGTCTTGTGAATCAGTGGCTCAGAATTTATTCCTTATTTTTTCATAAAATATTACTGCAAGTGAAGAATCTGAATTCCAATTTTTTGAGTATTACTTCCTTTAAGTTATGTCGATTGAAATAACAGAATTTATATTACTTTCAATGAACAGGTTGTCTTCATTTCACAAATAAATGACCCAAAGTCAGAACAGTGCTAGATTTTTTTAGAGGGATTCTTTACTGCTTTCAGTGGTGTTGGTCATTAATATTTTATTAAATATCCAGAGAATGTTAGTAGATAGAACTTCTTTTAAGGGGTTGGGGTTGTGGCTCAGCAGTAGAGCACTTGCCTGGCGTATATGAGACCCTGGGTTCAATCCTCAGCACCACATACAAATAAACAAATATTTTTTTTTTTAATATTTGTCCATTTAAAAAAATTTTTCTTTTAAAAAATAATCCTCTCAGTAAATTGACATGGTGTGTAGGTATGAAACAGAGCTAAGAAAAATAGCTTCAGTCAAACATTATACTATAATTTAGGAACCAGAAGGAACTTATTTGTAACAGAACTGAATAGCCAGAATTTACTTTTTTGGGGGGTGAGGGAGTTACCAGAAATTGAACCAGTGGCACTTAACTACTGATCCACATCCCCAGCCCTTTTTTATCCTTTTTTATAGTTTATTTAGAGACAGAGTCTTGCTGAGTTGTTTTAGGACCTTGCTAAACTGCAGATGCTTAACTTTTTTTAAAAAAAAATATTTTTTTAGTTGTAGTTTGACACAATACCTTTATTTTTTAATATTTATTTCTTAGTTGTAGTTGGACACATACCTTTATTTTATTTATTTATTTTTATGTGGTGCTGAGGATTGAACCCAAGGCCTTGCACATGCTAGGCGAGCACTCTACCCCTGAGCCACAGCCCCAGGCACCCCTCATGCTTGCTTTGAACTTACAATCCTCCTAGCTCAGTCTCTACATGCACCACCACGCCCAGCGACTAGTTTCGTTTTCTTTAAAATAAATATATAAAAATGTAGCTCTAAAATGAGGACAATAATAATGATGGCCATCTCTGGGACTATGGTATTGTTTAAATTGAGTTAGTTCCTGTGTAAAGTGCATAGACTAGGACCAGGCAGCCAGTAAGCACATGGCTCACTCTCATTCCAAGGCTTTGTATAGTGTTGTTCTTCCATGGGACCCTCTCTGATTACCCCAATGAGGCAGCAACTCCATATTGTCTGCTTTGCTCTGCTTATGTCTTCCCACTTGAGAATGATGCCTATTTACTATTTCCATAGTGCCCAGAACAATGAGTGGCACATACTAGGTGCTCAGTAAATGTTAGATGAAAATATATGTATATGTGTATGTATGGCTGATATTGTCATTTATTCAAGAAGGATTCTCAATTGGTGGTGGTAACTTTAGGAATCATAAAATTATAAGCAGAGCTATGCGTCATGGCACACACCTATATTCCCAGCTGCTTAGGAGGCTGAGGCAGGAGGGTCATGAGTTCAAAGCCAGCCTTAGCAAAAGTGAGGTGCTAAGCAACTCAGTGAGATCCTGTCTCTAAATAAATATAAAATAAGGGTCTGGCTCAGTGGTTGAGTTCCCCTAAGTTCTATCCCTGGTACTGCCCCCAACCACCACCAATTTATTAGCATGAAAATCAAAGTGCAGCAAAATTGATAATGGCGAGGGAATAGGGTTTGAGGAAGACAAATATGGAAGCAAATGGTATCATCAGTAGGTGTAGATCATTTCTGTGGCATGTCATTGAATTCTCCCTGCAAATCAAGATATTTGAGTTCTAAAAAAGAGGGGAGACTGTTCATGCCATTCCAGGTAGGCTACTTACCATGCTTAGATCCAATAGAAACCAATACTTATTTCCAATTCCTGTCTTATTACAGGCTGGGGATATAATAACAGAGCTGGAATCTGTAGATGACGACTGGATGAGTGGAGAACTAATGGGAAAATCTGGAATATTTCCCAAAAACTACGTTCACATTCTACAAGTCAGCTAAAGGTGAAGCTCCACTGTTCCCTGGCACGAAAACTTGCTTGAACTATCATTTTGACTATCAGATGTTTTTGCACTATTTTTTTAAGCAGAAAGAGAAATACCTGAGGTGTACACGATACACTAGAATTTTCTGAAAGCAGAAAACTTCTAGGTTTTGTAGCTAGCTTTCCTTCACAGTGGGAGTGTGCACATGGGCTAGGAAGACACCTGGAGGGATTAGCAAGGCAGATACACATGTCCCCCCCTCCCCCAGGGAGAGTGTCTGGTGACTCAGCCGCATGGAGTGGCTGCAAACCCAAGTTGCACTTGGCGGTGTGTTTTAATCAGCACAAATGAATTAACCATGCTTCTTCATTTTTACTTTAGTTTAAAAAGAGGACGTTTGACATTCTATATGCTGTAACTATCAGGACATGGTTGGTAATCTCAATTTCATTTTTGATATTCAAATTATTTCTAACAGCCTGAGCACATTAGCCTTAGTACCAGGGCAGAGAGAGAGAGTTTATTAACTAGTTGGAGCATTTCTAAGCACATGGCAAAGTCAGCTCACACTCAGCAAATGCTCCTATGTAACAGTTTCCTCTTGGTCCAAGGAGCTGAAGGGGGTCAAAATTGGATGTATCTTACTCAAAAAAGCCCAAACCATCCCCAAGATGCCTTGCTAATGCAGCTGACTCTTCCACACACATGCCATGGTTTTTCTTTGCTCAGTCTATGCTTTATGTTAACAGGGTTATTATAAAGCACATTCTCTGAATCTGCAGTCATTCCTTTGACAATTACTGGTACCCAAAGGAAAATTCATTTTCTTTGCATTACCCCAGTAATATATAAAAGCTGTGTCTTGTTATGGTAGGACATTATGAATCACACAGAGCATCTTTGAATGCAGAGCAACTGTTAAGATGAAAAACAGTGCCAACCCCCACCACTCATTTATTCGCAATATAATCAGAATGAAAAATAATTTAAGAGAACTGAAGGCTGGTACTTTCCACCAGCCACGCCCCCGCCAGCTCTTCTCAGCACAATTATTAGAGTAAATAAAAAAAACCACTTTCCTTTCATCCATTGTTATACATTGCAAAGCTTAAGATAAAAGTGGTTCTTCACATGACTGAATCAGTTACAGCTGATGGGCTAAAGCCAAATAGGTTGAAGACAATCTTCCAAACACATCAGTAGAATAGAATTTCTTGAAAATGTAAAACACTTTCCCAACAATGTTCATGACTTTCTTCTGTTTTTGAGAAGAATTTTATATGCTGGACCACTTTTGAGCCTCTGTCGTTTTCTCCCATTGCCCAAAAGCTGGGCAGCCAGTGATTGCACTTGACCTGAATGCCACGTGGAGTCTGGAAGGAAGTAATATTTACTTTGTCTTTGAGTGAAGTTCACCTCCAAGGTTTATTGGTTACATTTGATTTTGGAGTATGGGAGCTGTGTTTTCTATGTTTGGGGTGAGGAAGAGAGTATAAAGAGAATTCTTGTCCAGTTTCACTCAAAGGTCATTTAATGAGAAAGGGATGACTTTTAAACCATTATCCAAACTAAAATTCTCATTGGCAGCAAGCTGTACAACAGCAGGAAGGGGGCAGGGCTAGGGAACGGGACATGAGGTTTCTATCTTTGCCTGTGTAATTTTAACATATTGAAGATTCTGAAAACTTATCTCTTTTGGAGAAAAATATCCCCCTTAATGTTGGCCTTCTGTAAGCAGAATGATAAGTGCAATAGTTGTAAATCTACTTGACACTATAATAAACCGAACTGAACTTTTCCAAGTCCCTTTCTTAGACTAGACTGAATTTTTGAGATTGGAAATGGCATCTTCTTATCTTCATATCTCAAATCCCTTGGACCATATAGGTTGGTTGCTTGGTTGGTTGGATAGATGGATGGGTGGGTGGGTGAATTTCACCTATAGCAATACTATCTTAGATCTACACACTATCTTTTCTCTCTAATTCACTGGCAAAAATCTATATTGAAACAAAATCCAGTTATGTATGATTTGCCTCTATTATGTTCTGGTTTTTGCTTGCCATTTATTTCCCACTGAGCAGATAGAAAGCAAAAATGTTACCAGTGGGTTTTCATAGATAATTTATTATTCTGAATATTGATTGAATTCAAGGTGAGACTCAACCATGTTTAAGTAGAAACATATTTATGCCCAGTTAGTTTTATAGGAAAGAAATAGGAATACATTTTGTTTCCTTTCAAGAATGTTAAGTGGAAACTTGATATTGTTCATCTAAGCCTGCTCAAATCCTGAATCTCTGAATCCTTTCTCATTGTTAGGTTAAAACTGAAGAAGCCACATTATGTATTAGCCTTTGAACACTAAAAGACAGCATATTTCTTTAAAAGGCACCCTTGTTTTCATGGCTGGAAACCCAGGCCTGGAAATTAATCTGTAACATTCAGAATGAAAGAAGTCAGTTTATTTATAAAACTTGATTATTACAACTAGTATTTGAAAAGATTTTTTCTATAGGGTTATAAATCAATGCTCTTAACAATCGCCATTTAAATTTTATTCATTTTCTTAAGGTTAGATAAATATACCCAGAGAAAATACTGATGGGTATATGGGCTAATAATAAGGAAATATGTTCACTTTGATATGATCATTAATGGTTTATTCCTTTTAATTAATGTCAAATACACACAGGCCACACGACTCATGATACAATGCCATTTTGAATGCCACTGAGTGAATTCTTAAGCAGTGAAGTTTTATAGAACTAATGAGAAATCATTTTCTAGCCTGTCTTTTTACTTCACTGTAAATAAGAAAGGAAAAAAATCCAGAGCCTCACTCAGAACAATACCACCATCTAGGGGCCACTCCCTTAATTGCAAATTCTTCCTGTTAAACTACCAAGGGGTCTTTGGAGAGCTGAGCTTAGCCTGCAGAGGCTGAATGATTTTGCCTAAGGTTACTGTTATAAATGCTTCAAAGAAATGTTTTGCATCTCATAGATGCTTAATAAATGTTGCTTAGATACATGAATGGATGACAGAATATAAAATTGATAGGAGGTTAAAGAAAGGACAAGAGGCCATGTGCAGTGGCACACGCCTGTAATTCCCATGACTCAGGAGGCTGAGGCAGGAGGATCACAAGTTTGAGGTCAGCCTCAGCAACTTAGCAAGGCCCTAAGCAACTCAGCAAGACTATTTCAAAAATAAAAAGGGCTGGGAATGTGGCTCAGAGGTTAAGCCCTCCTGGTTTCAATCTGCCCCCCCACACCCAGCAAAAAAAAGTGACAAAAATGTTACCTAGTTGCTATGTATAGACAGCATCCTAAGGGCAGGTGAATGTGAGGGAGCAAAGGCCTGCATCTGTGCCGGTCACAGGACTTCGCTGGGCTGTGGTGAGACTCAGCACTGCAGTAAAGGGGTCAGGGGTGGATTGGAATCAACACATAGAGTACTACAACCCTGTGCAATGCGAAGCCCCCTACCCAGTGGGATAGTGGGCCCTGTGCAGGTTGCTGCTGGAAGGAGGTGGAGTGCCTCTCTATCATAGTCCAGTTGATGGACACAGAAACAGACTAGTTTTTGAGGAAAATTAGGGTGGTGATGAGACCAGACAGGAAGCCGAGTACCTCAGGGAAGATGAAAATCAGCATTGTATTCTCAAATATAGCTGCAGAGCAGAACCCTGCACCCAGTGGTCCCCAAAAACCTGCCATCCAATAAAGAAGGCGAGAGTTTTCCTCTTTGGATTTGGCAGTGAAGTTCACTACCATCAGGCCATCGATGTACTGACACTATGACCACTGGAAGGTTGGACATCATCATCACCACTGGTCACACAACTCCTAGAGGAGAAGCCCTGGCCACTGTGCTGAGTGACACGTGCAGTCCAGATCCTGAACACCACGGAAGCCAAGAAGCCCATGACAGGGGGGAGTAAAGTCTATTTAGGTTTGGTTCCGGACTGAGTAGGTGAGAAGGGACTAGTGTGGTGTGCGGACGGCGTACCCCAAAGTGAGACAGACCCCGAAATGCAGCAAGTTCACACCTACCTAGCTAGATCCTTTTTTTTTTAACATAAAATGATCCTTTTTTTTTTTAACACAATAAGTAATTCTGTAAGTTTTGAGAATTAAATACCGACAGTCACCACCAACCAACACGTAGAACTTTGCCATTGCCTTAGAAAGTCCCTCACACCCTTTTCCAGTCCATCCCCATCTCCCTCCCTGCCCCCTGCAGAGGCCATCACTGTCTGATTTCCATCACCACAGATTGGTTTTGCCTGTTCTCCAATTTCATAAAAATGTGATCTTACAGAGTCTATTCCTCTGGCTTCTTTTGAAATTTATGTTGCATCAATTCATTTCTTTTCATTTCAATGTATGAATACCACATTTTGTTTGTCATTTTCCTATTATTTTTAGCTGTTATGAATAAAGTTGGTGTGAACATTGTGTGTGTGTGTGTGTGTGTGTACCAGGAATTGAACCCAGGGGCACATAACCACTGAGCCACATCCCCAGCCCGTTTTTTTGTTTGTTTGGTTGGTTGGTTGGTTTGTTTTGGTGCTGGGGATTGAACCCAGGGCCTTGTGCATTTGAGGCAAGCACTCTACCAACTGAGCAATATCCCCAGCCCCCTGTTTTGTATTTTATTAGATACAGAGTCTCCCTGAGTTGCTTAGGCCCTTGCTAACTTGCTGAAACTGGCTTTGGACTCACAATCCTCCTACCTCAGCCTCCCAAGCTGCTGGGATTACAGATGTGTGCCACCACCCAGCTGATATAAACATTTTTTGTGTGTGTGGGCACAGCTTTTCATTTCTGTTGGATAAATACCTAGGAAAAAAATATTAGGTCATGGCCAGGCCCGGTGGCGGGTACCTGTAGTCCCAGGTACTCTGGAAACTAAAGCATGGGATCACTTGAGCTCATAGTTTGGGGCCACCGAGGGCAATATAGTGAGAATCCCATCTTCCCCCCACCATGAGCACTGGGGATTGAAGCCAGGGTGACACGTATGCCTGCCAGGCAAGCACCCTACCACTGAGCCACATCCCCAGCCTGTGAAATTCCATCTTTTAAGTATAATGATTATGGGGCAGGGATGTAGCTCTGGTAGAACACTTGCCTGGCACGCATGAGACCCTGAGTTCCATCCCTAGAACTGCAAAATATAATAACAACAATAATTAGGTCACAGAACAGATATATTTTAATTTTATAAGAAACTGCCTATTTTTTCCAAGGTGGTTGTGTCATTTTACATTCCATTAGCAATGTTTGGAGAATTGTAGTTGCTCCAAATCCTTAACAAACAGTTGGTTTTCTGTTTTGATTTTTTTTGTTGTTGTTTTTGGTACTGGGGATTAAACCCAGGTTTACTAAACTACTGAGCTATATCTCTAGACCTTTTTTAAACTTTAAAAAAAAAATTTTTTTTAATGGGGCTGGGGTTGTGGCTCAGCAGTAGAGCACTCAGCTAGCACATGTGAGGCCCTGAGTTTGATCCTCAGCACCACATAAAAATAAATAAATAAAATGAAGGTTTTATTGATATATATATGATATAGTCATCGATGGACACAATACCTTCATTTTATTTATTTATTTTTATGTGGTGCTAAGAATTGAATCCAGTGCCTCACATGTGCAAGGTAAGTGTTCTACAACTGAGCTATAGTCCTAGCCCTTTTTGAAAATTTTTTTTGAGACAGGGCCTCACTAAATTGCCTGGGCAGGCCTTGAACTTGTGATCCTCCTGCCTCAGCCTCCCAAGTCCCTGGGATTATAGGCATGTGCCCACAGGACCAGCTTAGCAGTTGGTTTTATTAGTCTATTGATATTATCAGTTTCCGCTATGGTAGTAAGTTACATTTTCTTTTGACAGAATACAATTAGAGGCTGGACACAGGTGACAAATGACAGGGAACTATCAAATTTGGAAGCATGTTAGAGGTTTGCGGTTATGGTGTCCTGGAGATTGATCCCAGAGTATCTGGGATTCCAGATGTGCACTCCCATGCCGGGCTGCTGTGTTTCTAAGGACTCATTTTAGAGATTGCTGTAGTTGGGTCTGAACTGTCCCACAAAGGACCCTGTGTTAAAGGCTCAATGTCCCCAGTTTGTGGTGCTACTGGGAGGTGGTGGCACCTTTAAAGCAGAAGGGCTGAGTAGAAGGGACTTAAAAGTCATTGGGGGCCGACCTTGAAGAGGGTATGGAGACCCGGACCCCCTCCCATCTCCCCTTTGCTTCTTAGCTACCTGCCATGATATACCATGATACCACAGACCCAAAGGCAAGGGAACCAAGCAACCACCTGTGAAACTGAATTAAAATATACTTTTCTTCTCTTATAAGTTGATTTTCCCAGGTATTTTGTTACAGTGATGGAAAGCTAATTGATACATGTTAAAATATTCATGTTTGATATGTCAGATTAGCTTCAGAATAATTGGGAAGGAGAAAAGTATCGGGAACTGTGCAGTGCTTGATGTTTTACCCAACTTGTAAGCTAAAAAGTTAGCCTGGCAGTCTCATGGGTGCTGGCAGAAGACATGAGACTAACTAGGTCAGAAACAAAGGACTTTATTACAGCAAAAGTCATAGCTGTGTTTCATGTTCATTTGTGTCAGTTCCTGAAGCTCCTAAATCCCAGTGAGGTGATGCAAAGGCCCATTGTGCAGTAGGTTATGTTACAGGAGAGGAACACTAAGATTTACCACTTTTATAGCAAGTGGAAGCAAGCCTGCTTTTTCTCCTGGGGGAAACATTACCTCATCCCTCAG